AATTATAATATTTTTGAGTTGCCTTTTCATATAATTATATGAAAGATCTATTAAATTTTTAATTGTATTAATGCAAGAAATAGAAAATTATGAATTGAGAGTATTAATATAATTTTTGAATAAATCACCTTCAACAATAGATAATGGTTGTCATGTTTCTATTATAAATTTTACAAGATCTTGATTTAATAATTTTTGTCTTCTTGAACTAAGAGATCTTGATAGAAGTTCATCAATAGATTGTTATTTTTTTGGTTATTTTAGATTGCTTATTTCTTCTGGAGTTTTTGAAGATAATGAAGCATTAGTAATATGATGATTATCACGAAGATATTTTGTATAATTAGTTGTAGAACCATGATGGGCATATTTGCGTGTACAACCATTTATTTGACAAATTGCATAAACAACATCTATTTCTGTATCATGATCAGTTATAAAAAAATCCCAAACAAAACTAGTTCTCAATGCTACTACTGTTTTTGATTTTTTTGATTTTGATTTTTTTCTTTTAAAGGTTTTTAATAAAACAGATGCTTTTCTTTTTCTATGATTTTGAAGATGACTTGAATTACTTAGAATATTATTGTCACTGATTTTACCTTTACTTTCATCTTCATCACTTTCATCACCTTCATTACTAATTTCATTATCATCTAATTTTTCTATATTAGTTAATTTTTCAAAAAAAAATTGAATCCTTATATTACTTTTTATTCTATTCATTGGAATTTTTTTGTTTTGGATAATATTTTTACTTGATAAAGCAATAGGCGTTTCATCTTCACTTCAAAAATTCATTTCAAAAGATAAAAAATCATCATTTTTAAAATCATTTTCATAATTATTCAAAATAGAATTATTTTCTAGAATTTAGCCTTCTGTATTTTTCTATCTATATTTTTTTCATGTTCTATTTCCTTTTCTTTTCCTTTTTCTTTTCTTTTTTTACTACTATTAATTCTCTCTTTACTTTCTTCTTCTTCATCTTCTTCATCATCTATTTCTATAATTTTTACAATATCACTTTTTCCTTTTTTTTTTACTTTTTCTATTCTCCTCTCCTCAAGTTTTTCACTCTCTTCTCTTATGTCATTCTCTTCTCTTATGTTATTCTCTTCTCTTCTTCTCTCTTTTCCTCCCTTACTCCCCTCTCCTAAATATCTGTAACCCTTCATGATCATAATTTCAACGATTTCAGTAATTTGACTGATTTTATTTTTATTTTTTTTCCTGTTTTTTTTTCTCCTTTTTTTTTCTATTTTTCTTTTCTCAAGTTCTTCATTCTCTTCTCTTATGTCATTCTCTTCTCTTTTTCTCCACTTTCCTCCCTTACTCCCCTCTTCTAAATGTCTATAACCCTCCGCGACCATAATTTTGACGATTTCAATGATTTGACCAATTTTATTTTTTATTTTTTTTTTCCTGCTTCTTTTTTTCTTATTTTTTTTTTTCTATTTTTCCTTCCTCAAGTTTTTCACTTTCTTCTCTTCTGTCATTTTTTTCTCTTCTTCTCCCCCTTCCTCCTTTACTTCCCTCTCCTAAATATGCATGACCCTCCACAACTATAATTTCAATAATTTCAGTGATTTGACTAATTTTATTTTTTATTTTTTTTCCTGTTTCTTTTTCTTCTGTTTTTTTTTCTATTTTTCTTTTCTCAAGTTCTTCACTCTCTTCTCTTCTGTCATTCTCTTCTCTTCTTCTATCCTTCCTCCCTTAATCCCTTCTCCTAAATATCCATAACCCTCTGTAACCATAATTTCATCAATTTCAGCGATTTGAACAATTTTATTTTTTCCTTTTCCTACACCTTTTTCTATTCTTCTTTCTTCCCTTTCACTGAGTTCCTCACCCTCTTCTCTTCTAGCACTCCCCCTCCTCCTTTTCTCTTTTCCCTTAAACGTTCGTGGTTCTTTGCAATCGTAATTTCAGTAGTTTCGTTAACTTTGACAATGTTACCATGGGTTTTCTCCACTTTCATAATCAGAAGATTTCTCGCAAACTATCTTTATACCACAACTACTTTCTATCGTTACATTACCACAAGACTCTATTACGCAGTTCCCAAAGGCTGACGAGCCTGATAATATTTCATCCCCAGTTACTGCAAAAACTAAATCACCTACAATTCTAAAGCACACCTGACCGGGAACAAAATCCAAACCTTTTTCTACTGTTGTAGACTTGTTAGAGGAAATAGATATTCAAGATACTGCTATAGAAACTGAATCAAGTATTCCAAAAGAAAAACCAAAAGTATCATTAGTTAAAACAAATTTATTAGCTTCTCCCAAATCACACTATCCTTCTAGTCAACCTAACCCAGTAATAGCTGAGGGATCTAGTTCTAGTACTTGGTCTGAAAAGACATTCCACTTGTAACAAAGGATAAGACAAGGAGAATACTTCGGTCAACCCAAATCAACTACTACATCTAATTATTTGAACAATTCTTTTGCCAGAGAACCACAACGATTAAGAACTCGAAAACAATTAACACTCAAATTTAACCCCTCTAAACAAAAGTGTAAACAAAAAGAGGAAGTAAAACCATTTGATAACAATGACACTGATTACAATATTTATAACTTTGATAATGATAATAATTCTTTCACTTATTATCACAACGATTATAACTACAACCAAGACAATAATAACAACATGACTACCAATCAACATATATTAACTTATTTACAATGAAACTTAGGAAGTACTACAATTCGAGTAGAACCTTTCTATGGTGATGGATTACAAGACCCCTTAAAGTAGATGGAGGATTTTGAAAAAGCCACTTGAATAAATGATTGAGATAATAATCGAAAAGTCACTATGTTAAAAGCTCATTTACGAAATGACGCAGAGGAATGGTGTGAAACAACAACTGCTACCATTTGAGCTGAATGGCTTCAAGCTTTTAAAGAATTCTTTTGTATATTCTGATGGATTAACAAGTGGCATCGAGAATTAGAGGAACTACGACAAAACAGTGACGAAGCCATTGACACTTACTATGCTGCTCATAGACGACTTATTAGAAAAATTAATAAAATAGCCGAAATGCCAGCTGCTGATCAAATGCATTATTTTGTGAAAGGCTTATGACCAGAGCTCGCACCAATAATTATGATGAATGATCCTGCTGATGTTGCAACTACAGTGCACCTTATTCGAAAGTATGAAGCAGGTGAAGATGTAGTGAAACGAAAAGAACCTCGCAAGACTCAAAAGGAACTTGACTCTGAGTCCGAAGAGGAAGTTAAACCAAAACGAAAGGAATCCAAAAAAAGGAAAGAAAAATCTGAAAAAGGAGACTTGAATGATCTTGTCCAAAAATTTGAAAAACTCCAAATCAATTTGGCTCAAAAACTTGATTAATTGAATAACCAAACAAACCGATGGGGAAATAACTGAAACTCTTTTTCTTCATATAACTCAGGCAATCAATACTATAATAATAATATTTGGCCTTTCAATAATCAAAATAACAACAATAATTTTCGCAATGAACGGCCCCCTCCTGTTTGTTATAACTGTGAACAGGAAGGACATATCTCTTGAAACTGTAATAACTGTAACCGAAATAATAATAGTAATAATAATTATAATAATAATAATAACAATTCAAACAATAAC